TCGCATGCTAAAACGTTATTTGTTTCTGACAGCAGATATTTCTTACTGTAACGTCCAAGTTCGAACATCGAATAAATTAAGCTTCTGTAACAACTAACTGTTCGATCAGCGAACGAACGGTTGCAGCAATTTTTATCTCGATGAACTTCAGATATTCACATTTCTTGCATAAATTCATGCAAAGGAGATATTTTCTTCCGAGGAAAAGTTTCCCGAAAGAAACTACTCCTCTCTCTCTCTCTCTCTCTCTCTCTCTCTCTCTCTCTCTCTCTCTCTCTCTCACCGGATATATTTCCAACACTTCTAACAGTTCTTTTACATCGAGTAAGGAATTTTATCCTCTGATAATTATAATTATCGAAAAAAGCAACTTGTTCTTACGTATTACTTACTAGAGATGCCAGGTGCGTACCGACATCGAAGCAAAAGAAAAAATGCTGCGATCTTTCTTCCGCTGGCTCTTCCAATTCCAAAGAAACGTCTTAGCTGCCACGACGTTTCTTAGCCACTTCTCAGCTCTTTCCGCTAATCCCTTTCTCGCGTGGAAAAGGAATGCTTGAAAAAAGGCTCGAAAAGGAAAAGGCTTGACGTGGAACGTAACACCGCACGGCGGCAGGCCGCGCGTCGCGTTTATACCTACGCGGCCCGTAAAAGACGAGCTATATTCTCTCATCAGAAAGCCCACGGGTGTCGTTACTCGGCGGGTGTATATCCGACGACTGGTACGCCGTTAGCCCGTTTTTACGCGTCTAATATCGCGCGTACAACGCTTCACAGACACACACACACACACACACACACACACACACACACACACACACACACACACACACACACACATACACGGCGTGAGCGCGCGCGGCATCGGTCGGTTTCTCGCACGCGGCGGAACGAGGAAGGGAGCCGAAAAATTGAGTTAGGGGTTGCACCCTGCGCGTCCTTCACGGTGCGACTCCACGCACAGTACGCATGTAAATCTTCGCCACCGGACAAACCTGAACACTGAGGATTTACGCTTCCGATGGGACATCCCGCGAGTCGGTGTGTCATTATGAGGTTTCCCTCAATGATTATTACCGGGACAATAGCCGCCTTGAAAAGGAAATTCTTACGTAAGTTAGATGTAAGGTAGATAGATTAAAGTTGATGTTGCTTCTTTTCTCTCTCTCTCTCTCTCTCTCTCTCTCTCTCTCTCTCTCTCTCTCTCTCGTGACGAACCCATCACTCTTCTCTCAGAACTCTCAGATCAGGCAACGAACACCTCTCGATTGACGTCAACAATCGCGATCAAAGGTCTTAATATATGTATTAACCAATTCGCTCTAACTTATTTCTCTGAGCAGATCTCCTTTCCACCCTCATCGCACTTGTTCTACGAATTTTTCAAGAGTCGCGGCCGCGTTCGGTCCAGCAGCAGCGGCGGAGAAACGTTCGACATAGTCGTCGGGAATGAATTCTTAGACGAGAGCGGTCGGCCAGCCCCACACGACGCTCGCTATTATCAAAATTCGAGCTAATAGCCAGTTAGGGGAGTCCGGCCGGCTCGCAAGGGGCGGACGCGGGGACCGTCTCTCTTTGTAGCTAGCCTTAATTCGATTAAGACCGCCATCTTTCCCGGCCGGCACCGTCGACGTCGCGCGTAACTCCGTTATCGTGGCACGACTGCCCAAATTCGATCGTCGATATCGTCTTGTTGGTCCCCGGGAGACGACAGACGGCGAAACCGCGCGTCGACGCTGAATAATCTGCCGCATTCGCGTTCCAATTACCCGGCCACGTGCCGTCGCCGCGCAAGATAGGATGCGGGTTCTTCGGAGGGAGAGGGCTGGAGAGATACAAGCCGCGAGATTGTCGTTAATGCACAATGTGCGATAATAATTTGAACCGCTCTGTGCGCGCGTGAATAGAGCAGCTTCGGTGCAAGTACTCCTCCGCGGAGCAAGACCGACAAGCGCGGTCGCTCTAGAGGGCTAGGGTTACACTGTTGGGGTGGTCTGTTGCGATAGTCGGGGTAGTTGTTATTCTTGAGCGCTTCTCTATTTTTACATGGAAAAACATTACTCTAATAAGCATCGTAATGCGCTTGCTATTACAGCTATCTGTTCCCACAGCTGTGATCACTTTGTCTGGAACTACACCAAACTATACAACTATACCGGCAAGACACTCGGTATTACTTCTTTATTGACACGAGAGTAGTCGTGGTTTATACATGGAGGACGCACTGTCTTGAATCACCCCGAGCCTAAGCAAGTCCACGTTGTTACGCTTGCAACGTTGGAATTGCACCCAGTCTCCGCGTACGAATTGGATCGAACACAACCCGATCCGGCCCAATTGCATTGGGTTGGACCGGGTGTCGGTGCTCCTTTAGGCAGCGAGCACGAGTCTTACGCTCGCTGGCCGTCGAGAAATAGATTCTAGACCTTGCAGCGCGAAGTATCATTCATTCGTCAACTTACCGCACTAATTTATTACGGCAGTTCCCAAGAAGAATGCCGCGAGTAATCGACCTGCGTAATGCGATGTTCTCAGACTCATTTGGTAGATACGGTTAGAGCGCACGCTTCTACTCGTTCATCTCGCCCGTATCAGGACAATCGTTACTGTGCGCAGGTGCAATAAGAGCCCGGCACTTAATACGCGAGACGAGAACTTAGCCGGAAACTCAAAAACACCATCCGCGTCTCACCGTACAAGTCTCTTGACGCCGCTGCCGGCAGCGTTCGTTGAACTCACTTACACCCACTGTAAAAGAACGATTGCTCGTAATTTTTCATCGCGCTCACGAGCCAAGCGCTATGCGCTGATGCGTCTCTGGGGTTCCTCCACAAAGGGACCAACCAAGATCTCGTCCGTCCGACACCGTCTCGTTCCAATTTCAATTTGGATTTGGATTTGGAACTCGCACCAATTGGATCGGCTGGCTTATTGGATCTAGCCGAACGCTATTCGCCAATCATATGGCGATGTTTCATCATTCAGCCCAAATGAGTCGCGAGTCCACTTGGACATCACTGTAAATCCCTTGATCCGTCACCGCAACCATCCACAACGTGCTATTCCAAAAACTGTTTTCACGTTACCCACTCGTTTAAATCTCACCGCTTACATAGGTGCAACCTACTTTCGCGGGGTCGCGCGGCGGTTCTTTCCTGGAATGCATTGATTCCTACGTGCGATACCTGCAGATAGAGGGGAAAGAGAGAGAGAGAGAGAGAGAGAGAGAGAAAGCGATATAGAGAGATAGACAGATAGGGAGAAAGAGCACAGTTCTCGTCATCGTCGACGTCGACGTCGACATAGTCGTCGCGTCGTGTGTTCTCCACAACCGCGCGGCACTAATAACGACAGAACAACCACCACCACCACCTCCGCCATCAGCAGTGCGCGGCCTCCTCTCATCATCATCAGCGGATCGCCGTTTCGGGAGGCCGATCGGTGGGCCTCGGCGGGGCCGATGCCGCGAGAGAGAGAATTCTCTCCTTCTCGGCGGCGAACAAAGCGAGACGCGCGGTCTCGCGGGAGGCCGCGAGAGTGAGAGAGGCGGTATGAGGCGGTCTCTATGGGCGGCGCCTGTCGGCGCGTCCGATCGGAAGGCGAGCGGTACGATTGGCCGGTACTGCCGCGGTGCGAGGGGAACGTGAGGACGCGTGAGGTACGGCGAGCACCTCCACCCGCGCGCGGCGCGCAACGTTGCCGTCTCCTTGCTATGGTACGTGCGCGTCTCTCTCTCGCCGGCGCCACTGCAGCTGCCGCCGCCGTTGCCGCCGCCGCCGCCACCACCACCACCACCACCGCCACCACCACCACCACCACCATCACCTCCACCGTCGCCGCCGCCGCCGCCGCCGACGCCGCCGCCGCCGCCACCGCCGCCACCGCCGCCGTCGCCGCCGCCGCCGTCGCCGCCGCCGTCGCCGCCGCCGTCGTCGCTGCCGCCGCCGCCGCCGCCACCGTCGCTGTTGCCGCCGCCGCCTCCGCCGCCGCCTCCGCCGCCGCCGCTGCTGCTGCTGCTGCTGCCGCCGCCGCCGCCGCTGCTGCTGCTGCCGCCGTTCTCGTCGTCGTCGTCGTTGCCGCCGCCGTTGCCGCGCCGCGCACGGTACCTCCACTCGAACGAACCGCCGCGCTGCTGGCCCTCTCAGTCGCGACGCGCTCGTCACGGGGTGCAGATCGTACGCCGTTTGTCGTTCCGACACCCTTCGTCGCGCGCAGCACGCGCTTATCACGCCGCAACGCGCGGCGTCTACCGCGATTCGTATCCGTATCCGTGTCCGTAGCGCGCTGCTTCCGCCGTGGAAATCGCGACGTTGTCGTCGTCGTTGTCGTCGGTTTGTCGCGTTTCGAGAGGTGGTTGGTGGTGGGTGATTAATGTTGAGATCCAAGTCTTCTCTCTCTCTCTCTCTCTCTCTCTCTCTCTCTCGGACGAAAACAACGTGATAAACCTTTTGACGGGTGATTGGACCGAGATAGGTGCTGGTAGATAAGAACTTGAAGAAAGATCGAGCGAGAGTGACAGCGATAGAGGAAAGAGAGAGAGAGAGAGAGAGAGAGAGAGAGAGAGAAGAAGAAGAAGAGAGTGAGTGAGAAGGAGAGAGAGAGAGAGAGAGGGGGGAGAGGGTGGAAGAAAAATAAAGTGTGCCGTTTGGTGCACCGGAGCAGGGTCGCAACCCTGTTTCGGGACTCTCGATCCCTCGGGATACCCCCGTTGTGTATAATGCTTTGTTTGGGGGAGACTAGTAACTAGGTGAACACTGTAACTCTTTCGTTGCGGGAGTGGAATAGCGAGCGAAATATTTGAGTACGTTTTCGTTCGCGCCTTCGCGCCAAGCTCTACGATGCTCGACCGCGACGTCCCAACGGGACGATGACGCCCGCGTCGGTTCGCGTCTGACAGATCCGCGCACGTTGCCACGAGGCGCGCGGATAATCTCTCACTCCCGCGTTGCGCGCCGTACATCTGGAGTATTGCGTGTGGCTGTGCATGTGTGTCGTTGCAGATGCGGCCTCGTTGCTGATCCGATCAGACTAGCGTTATCAATAACGAGAAGCCCGAGGCGAGAGACACCACGAGGAGGCCACCGTCGACGACGAGGAGGAGGAGGAGGAGGAGGACCGAGGAAGAGGAGACGAAGAGGAAGAAGACGACGAGGAAGAAGACGTGCGACAGGTAGCGGAGGAGGAGGAGGAGGAGGAGGAGGAGGAGGAGGAGGAGGAGGAGGTGGAGGAGGTGGAGGAGGAGGAGAGAGAGAGAGAGAAAGCATAGGTGGAAGCGCGTGGCGGAGGAGAACGGAGGAAGACGGTGTCGCAGCCGGCGGAAGGAAGAACTGGAGAGATCACTCTCTCTCTCCGTGAAAACACGAGACGTGGAAACGGAGGTAGCCTGTGAGCGGCCGCGATCATGACGCAGCAAAGCGGCGCTGGGTCACCCCAGCAATTCTGTCTGCGTTGGAACAACTATCAGACTAACCTCACCAACGTCTTCGACCAGCTCCTGCACAGCGAGAGCTTCGTGGACGTCACCTTGGCCTGCGACGGGCACAGCGTCAAGGCCCACAAGATGGTCCTTTCAGCCTGCAGCCCGTACTTTCAAACGCTCTTCTTCGATAACCCCTGCCAACACCCCATCGTCATCATGAAGGACATCAAGTGGCCGGAGCTCAAGGCCGCGGTCGAGTTCATGTACAAGGGCGAGATCAACGTCTCCCAAGAGCAGATCGGGCCGTTGCTCAAGGTCGCCGAGAGCCTCAAGATTCGCGGTCTCGCGGATGTCAACAGCGAGCAGGAGCTCACGTCCAGACCGAGTCTGGAAGAGGCCGCTGGTGCGGCGATGCACCGGAAGAAGCGGCGCCGGATGTCCGGCGAGAGATCACCCTCCGGTACGAACAGTCCGGATCGTGTTGGTTCCGGTAGCATCACTGACGATCAAGACGTGATCGCCGGCAATATCGTCGTACCCGAGATACACAACATGATACCGGCAGCGAGCTCGACACCGAGGTCTCTGGGTTCACCGAGCACACCTAGCATCTCCGTCACGCCGCAGATCAATCTGCAGGAGCTTCCGGTCACGCTGCCTCTACCGCCACCTCCGCCGCCACCCCCGCAGGGCCAGCAGAGCTCGCACCCCCTGTCGACCCACCACGTGCCTGGCCACGTGACTTCCGGTCCGCACGCGCCCGTCAACCACCTAGGCGCCCACGGCCAGCAACTTGGCGTGCAGCAGCAGCAACAGCAGCAGCAGCAACAGCAGCAGCAACAGCAACAGCAGCAACAGCACCATCAGCAGGGCGCCGGTAATCAACCTGGTGGAGATGACCTCGAGATCAAGCCCGGCATCGCTGAGATGATTCGGGAGGAGGAAAGGGTGAGTCGAGCTGTCTCTTTTTATCTATTTGTGATCCACGCTCCCTTCTGCCTCGCGTTTTTATCGCGTGAGCGTGACAAGTGTCACGCGATTAGTGCGGGGTTACGTGGTGTGCCGGTAGTGGATATATCTTTCCGCGCGAAAGCGACTCCTCGGCTGTCGCGTCTGCTCGACGAAGAACTCGGGAGAACGATCGGATTGAGCACTCAGGTGCCTACGAGGAGGATGGGACAGTGACTTTCCCCTGATTCGCGGGCGGATTGAAAGATTCGGACGCGTGCCAGTGCGATCTGCTCAGCCTTTCCTAATTTCTTCGAATAGAATTCCGTTCGAGGCGAGGAGCGAGCTGTGACAAGCGAGCCGCTCGAATTCCCGAGGGACCTTTTCGCTGATGTAGACAAGTGGATTGCCCATTTTGAATTGCCGAGTGAACATTGTTCATTCAAAGTTCGAGAGTGGACCGGGTGTAACATAACCAAAGAGCCTCACAACATATGAGATTTTGTCACTTTAGACAGGACTCGTGCAATATTTTAGAGTTTAGGAGTGTAAGAAATATATTATAAAAGGATGTGATTTTTGCTATTATATCGACTTGTGTGCAGCGAGTTGTCGGAAAAACAAATTCGTCCTAATCGATCGCAAGAGTCTTGTTCGTACGGATCAAGAATCCACTCTGAGTTCGAGGTGAAAAAAATTGCGGCTCCGAGTGGCGGCTGTCGAGCGACTTTTCACTCGTCTCGAGCGCGAAATTGCACTCCGCGAAATTTCGAGAGTTCGTCCCGCGCGGGAGAAGGACGGGAGTTTTACGAATAATAATCGCTGCTGTATCGCGTCTCTTACAGACGCGTTCGGGAATCCTCGAGAAGCGGTCGTTCGTCTGTTATGCGGGATGATACTACTTCATGATTAATGTTTCGCGATTTCGCGATTAATGTTTTTGCCCGAACGAACATTTGTCTTTGCGGACGTCTGCGCCGAGATACGTAATTTTGAATGCAAATCGTGCAATAAGAAGTCGATAATCGCGCCGAGTGTCGTAATTAGAAGATTTTCATGCATGTGATATCGTGCTGAACATTCACACGTTCACACGTATGTCTCAGACGCGCTCGGCGTAATTTTCCTATTCGTCGGAGAACTGCTACTTCCTCCGTTCTTTGTAACTGTGAAGATACATCGGTCGAAATAAGCGGGAGAATAAAAACACTGCGATTACGCATTATTATTATTGAATCAGGATAGAACGAGAGGAAAAAGTTTGCGTTAGGCGTTAGACCTGCGGCATTTCGAGTGACTTGTTGATTACAGCAGATCGACCACTCCTCCGCTCAGACTGCGAGTAAAGAATCATTACGCGAATTTTGCATGCCCGCATCCTTCCGTCAACGTTACTGAAAAATGCACAAAATCTGTCATGTGTGTGTATTTTTGCATAATAAGCCACGGCGACCGGCGATATCTTCTGCTTCGAATTATGGCACATTACCAAAGCTGTCAAAAGCCTAATCTCAACGTCGACAAGTTAAATAAACAGCGAAGCTCGCTTCTCGCTCCGCGACTGAAAGATTCCGAATATACATCTAAATTTTGCCGCTCTCCAGCGTCGAAAAGTATAAATAAAAAGCGGAAAAAAAGGAGAGAGAGAGAGAGAGAGAGAGAGAGAGAGCGAGAGAGAGAGAGAGAGAGAGAGAGAGAGAGAGAGCGAGAGAGAGAGAGAGAAAGAGTAGAAGAAGAAAAAGAAGAAGAAGAAATACTCTAATATTTGCTCAACATTTAGAAATAATTCGGCGACGAGAGAGAGTCAATTAAAAGTTTCCCCTCCGATCAAGGAGCGTGCCCCGCCGCCAGAAGTGAAACAAGAAACGACGGGGTGCGCCGGCGTTTCCCGCGGCGAACTAACCCTCTTCTTCCCTCTTTCTCCTTCGCGCTTACTCCCCCTATCGAAAGTTTCGCTCTCTGGGTTAACCAACCACCCGGTCTCTCGTTCTCTTTCGCACTCTCTCCCTCTCCCTGCTTCTCTACCATTAGGAAATCGCCCGGGCCCAATTTTCCCGATAGCCTGACGAAGGAAGGAGACGCTCTCGCGAGTTTTCATTATACAACGAGAAACGCGCGGCATTTAGGTGAGGCTCGCGTGTCATTAGAAGCGCGTTTTCGGCGCCGGGCGAAACGAGCAGCGAAACTGTGACCGATTCTCCGTAGGAAGAGCAAAAGGAGGCCGCCCGCGTCGTTCTTCTATGCCTCTCTCTCTCTCTCTCTCTCTCTCTATCCACGGTAATAACCCTGCTATAATTGGCCGCCCTTTTCACGACCGGCTTGGAAAAATCGCAGCGGACTGACAGACGGTCGGATGGACGGACGATATGAACTCGAGAGGCCGCTGCCGCCAATTATGCGATCGCGAGCGGGACGAGTTTTCGCGCCGAAACCGTTCGCTTTCGACGTTCGCGGAAATGCCGAGGCAAGAGAAATAGACGAAGGGACGAAGGCAAGCAGGCAGGCAGGCAGGCAGGCAGGCAGGCTGGCAGGAAAGCGGGGAGGGCGAGAGGGATGGAGCAAACGGGCGGTGAAAGAGCGAGGCCCGCGCGCTTTTCCGCAGCAGGGAGGAGGGGAATGAGGAGGAGGAGGAGGAGGAGGAGGAGGAGGAGGAGGAGGAGGAGGAAGAGGAGAGGAGAGGAGGGCCATCCCAATTACTCGGCGATTGGCTTCGACGGTATGCGCTAATTGAGAGTATCAATGAACGTCAATGAGCGCAGTCAATATTTGGCCGGGGTGCATCCGGCCGAGCGTTTTGTAACGTTCTTTTTGTTAAAGCGGATGACAAATATTGACCGCGCTTGTTCGCGCGCGTACGTGACGCACACGCACAGGCCGCGCCGGCCACGCACGGCGTGTATATGCACGCATGTACGCATGCACGCACATACACAAACACACACACACACACACACACACACACACACACACACACACACACACACACACACGCACGCACGCACGCACGCACACACATACGCCCGGGTATCGACTGTTCTCGTTAATTACATCGGGACGACGGTGTCTCCTGCATTATTTATCGTCCGCTACCGGCGCAAGTTATTAAGCGTGCGGCTAGTTACAAGCCGTTTTGTAACTAGCACGCCGACCGTCGGACATTGCGTCGGGTCTATAACGGTGGTTCTTAGGGGAGGGAGCGGTAGGAAGGGTCACGATAAGCTCACTCCGATGTGTGCCCTCTCGGCTTCGAAATCTGCATCATGTCCGGAAGCAGCGCATTCGCGACGTGCGACGATGTCGAATGGATGATAATAGATAATCGCATTTGATTTGTCCTTACTGATTGGAGAATCCGCGCGAATTTATCGCGAATCTATCTATCCGTCCATCTAACTATCTTTCTGTCCTATTTATCCATCCGCGACAATAAATCCGAAGATCCGGCTATGTCAGATCGCTAACGAATGCTTTGAGAGGAAATACTTAGCAAGCAATTCCGGAGTAGCAGAATCGCAGGCATCGGAGATAGCAAAAATTCTCATATATTACATAGACGACGCTTTTTACGCGATATATTACACTTTACATCGGTAACTAGTTTTTTAACTCGCTCATGTAAATGCGATCCGGCGGTCAAGCAGGTGTCGTAAGAAATATGCGCGTCGCGGTGAGATCTGTCTCGATATATCGCGATCTCTCCGCGACAGCGCCACCTTCACTGTGTTGTAACACGCGGCAAGTGGTTGAACGCGCTTTCTCATTATCTTAGCCGGCTCGCCACGCGCGCCGTTTGACCGCGCGTCGCGGCTCGCCTCGTGCACGCGCATACGCGCGTACGCCCGGAAAAGGACCCCTCGTGGACGGGGGTGCGGGATCGCGGCGCGGTAAACCCCGGCAAACACACGTCAAATTTTCGCGTACGCCGTCGGAACACACCGGCGTACATTTGTATAGCCTGCGAGAGAAGCGACGGCCCGGCCGCGTTACGGCGTTCGCTGGAGGGAGACGACCGACTGGCGGCGCGTTTATAACGCGCGCTGAAAAAGAACGCGGCAACTGCCAAGACTTCGGGCAGAGAAAGAGAGAGAGAGAGAGAGAGAGAGAGAGAATGCGCGGAGTTCAATCTAGGAAATTAAAGCGAGCGCGACGTCGGCCGACAAGCGGCGTTATTTTTCTCTCTCTCTCTCCCTCTCTCCCTCTCCTCTTCCTCTCTCGAGCCGCGCACGTACACCGCCGTCACCCCTCCGCCGCAGTTGCGCACCGTGACGTAATCCGCTGTACGTATATAATGGTTATAACATTCCGCGGAATTCCATTATGTTAACGCAACCACGTTCCAATTCTCCGGGCGTGCTTGCGCGCTCGCGCGCTCGCGTATCGTAAATGCGCGCCGTTGTAGTATCGCAACTATTCCGCGGTGCCTTTCCGATTAAAATACCTAATTGATGCGGGCGAGTGCGGCCGATGGCCGGACAGCCGGGGATCGCGGAATTCCAAGCGGCGCGGGAGCGTTGCCGGGAGCGCACGACCCGGAGAATTTTTCCTACCGGACGAGTAATTTTTCTTAGGAGGAGGAGGAAGAGCGACGGAGAGAGACACGGAAAGAGCGAGAGAGAGAGAGAGGGAGAGAGAGAGAGAGGGAGAGACAGAGGGAGAGAGAGAGAGAGGGAGAAGTGATAGAGTAACGGGGCGAGGAGGGGGCTAGATAATTATACAAGTAAATGAAATGAAATAAGATGTAATTATAAAGATTGCAGTAAATGGATGGAGTGCGTCGTTGCGTTTCCGAGAGAGGACGACGCGGCACTCGTAAAAAGAGGAGAAAGCGATGTTTCATTTATACGCGGACAGTATATCAGTATTAAAGAAAAAGGAAGAAGAGAAGAGGGAAAGGGAAAAAACCGTGAAAGCTATGGGACAAATTTATTCAGGGTAAACAGAAACTCGCGCGGCGGCCGAGCGCCGCGGAAGAAGAAACGACGAGAGCGTGTTAAAGGAGAAAATGCGGAGACGCGAGCGCAGAGCGAGAGCACGCGTGCGACGCCCGGCTCGTTAGACTACCGGCGGTAATCGCCCACCCGAGAATTCAGCCTTCTCTTTCTCCCTTCTTTTTTGTTGTTTCAATTATAATCGCTTCAGAAGAGCGAAGTTACCAACCGAGTGCGCGCTCATACGATCGCGGGGAATCGAGCTCGGCTTCGTTCCGTAGGACGGAGTCCGTACGAACGAGTGACTCGCCCGCGAAAGAACCTCGAGAGCGCGTGTGTTTCTAACGAGGATGCAGTCTGAAACGGATTATAGTCTCGTTAGAAATACCCACCGAGAGGAGAAGCATCTGCACCGTGCGCGGGAGAGTACGAGCGGTCTCCGTTCGGCGACAAGTCCGGCTCTTCATCGCTCTTCAGTCGACAGCCGCGCGCAAAAGTCTATGAGAATGCGCGCGCGTGCCTCTCTTTCCGTCAAACGATTCACATGCGTGTTCATGCGTGAGACTTGCCGATTACACCGCGACACCGGCATCTTTCGCGCCGGTAATTTCCGATATTTTACTGCGCGCGTCCAGCCGCAGAGCGAGCGCTCGTGAAAACGCCGATGCTTCTCCTTTCCTGCTGATCGGTAGCGATCGTGTCTCTCTTGAAAGAGAAAAAGAGAGGGGGGAGAGTGTGTGTGGGGGGAGGAAGGGGGGGGGAGAGAGAGGAATTTCCTCTCTCATCGGAAATTAGGGAATCGACGGGCAGCGTCCTGAGTTATGGATCGCCCGCCTCCAGCGGCTAGAAAGCTGGGACAATAATTATTTATACTCGGGACGGACCCACGGGATCCCACGATCGTACGGGATCCGATATAAATATAAATTATATTTCACCTGTCACGCGCACCGGGGCCCCCCCGCGCGATGACGAGTCGTGTCTCTCTGCGACCGTTCAATCGTGCTCTAATCGCACGTTGTCGTCGTCGTCAACTTTCTTGCTGGCCGCGCGATCCTTCGCATTCCAGAAGGCGACGGCAACGACGGAGATCCGCGATTAATTACCACGGGTGCGAGATATTATCAAGCGGTATTTTTAAATGTGACCTTGGTAATAAATATTTTTATAATAAGCAGTCTCTCTCTCTCTCCTTCTCTCGCCCCTGACTTGACTTATTCTTATATGAGCCGAGATTTATTTTCCTTCGCCTTTTTTTCGTCTCTTTTTTACCGTTTTCGATCGTCTGCTCGACGGACACGTAGAAACACGGAGGGATCGGTTTGCGGAAAGAATTATACATGCGATTCCGTTCTCACTTCTCGTATCGATGCGGCATATTTCCGAAGTGTGACAAAATAAAAAGAATCGATGGACGTGTGCGCGCGCTTGCGCGCGTGTATGTCGTGTGTGTGTGTGTGTGTGTGTGTGTTTACGTCTCCGCGAGTGTCGGATCTTGGATTCTAACGCAGGTATTTACCGAACACGCCGACACCTGCACTGCAGGATCTCGCTACACCTTTTGCGATGAGGTACGAAGAATGCACGCTCGGAATGCTCGACGGCGTTAAGATAAACACGAATTATGCGCGATTTTGGCGCGTTTCTCAGAACGATTCTCATTCGACTACTTGTTCGCTCGTAGATCGCCTAACGAAAAGCGCGACGCGCGCGCCAAGA